TATGCCAGCCCTTTCTATTTCTATGATCTATTTGTGGAAGCCAAACTATCAGTTCCCACAATGACACAGAAAAATGGGCAGATGAATGAAAGGTCTGCCTCCTCCATTCATAGAGTGCTTTCCATTGCAGGAACTGATGATACAGCTTCTATGAATGGAGCAGTTGGAGAGAATGGTGGATAGTTGGCACTTTTGAGGAGTGCCTGTGACAGGTGGTAAAAACCCCTGTAGCGCCAGCACCCAGTTGCTGATATATCAGGGGGGTAAAGGCTAGGATTAAAGATTTCAAAGAAAAACTAAGCCACCAGCACACAGGACACTTGCAATCAAGTACTGCCTCTCATCCTGATTTAACCTCGTCACCCGCACAATCCATAGGTGCAGCAGCTAAAGGGTTGGCTTTGTCGCCCACACACCGCACATATGCATTGCTTGGAATCCAATGTTTCTGTGCTGAGCATGCACTACTGCCAGGGCCGGTGCTAGACTATTTTGCCCCCTGGGCAAGACCAGCTACTTGCGCCCCCACAAAAACAATAAATACAATTTTTAAAAATAGTAAAAAATATAAAATCAACAAAACATGAAACTACTAAATTTCTTTTAATTTGCAAAATTAAGTGCCTTAAGATGCCACTAGCACTAATATAAAAGACAAAATCAGTGTCACGGATGGACTGTATCTGTGGCTGGCAGTGACAGGGTGAGTGGAGGAGGATGGATCTACACTCTGACAGATCCCCGGCTGGAATTCCCCAGGCAATGGGGGGAGATAAAACGCTGTGACAGCAGGCAGCTGAACTGAGCGATCCCACACAGTGACAGATCCGACACAACACACCACCACCAACACTGACACAGATCAGCAGGCCCAGCAGGCACTAGAAGAGCAGGTTGTGGAATTGTGACCATGTCATCACTCAATGACGCATTGCACATGTGATGGATGTCCAGGCGGCCTGGTCACACTCACACAGACACGAGACATAAGAGTCAGACATTACCTTCCTCTACAGGCACAGCTCTGCCTCTGCTGATGAATGGGCAGAAAAGGGCTGGAACTCCACAATGATCATCAGCCACCAGCTGACTTGCAGTAAGGGACTGAGTCTGAGAGTAACACTGGAACTGCTACACTGGCCCCAGACAACCGGCATCTTCCTCTGTCCTTTCTTCCTCCTCTCTGCCACCCCTCCTCTCAGCTGAAGGGCCATTCATGACGTTGTGGCATCCCACACAGAGACAGTGCCAGACTGTGCTGCGCCAAGGTGCCCCTAGGTGGCCGCCTAGTTTGAATAGTGGTAGCATCGGCCCTGCTTACTGCACACTCCCAGCATAGCACATCCTTTGGTTCCTGCTTATGATTGGTAGCAGCGGGGATCGGCTCACGATTATTTGACTAATATGATAGCCAATCATAACGTTATCAGCAGATCTCTCCACACCCCCCCGCCATGTTCAGAATTTTTTAAATGCATGCTGAGGAAGGTAGGAATGGGTTAAAAAATGAAAAAATAAACTTCAGCTTCACATACCTCTGATCTAATTAGATTAACAGCGGGGTGGTCTTATTTGTAATTGTTTTACAGCAGCCCTGAAATGACACTGCTGGAGGATCCAGCCCAATGTAAATGTGGGTAGACAGCTAGCTATATCCAGCTATCACATTAATGGCTATATGACGAATATCGCCCTAAGCGCAGATTAAAACGGATGTGCAAAGACGAGAAAAGTAGCTGTAATACCATCAAAAAATGATTTATTTTCTTTCTTGTTTTGGCAAAAATGTCCCTTTAATGCTGTAGAGATGTGTAACCCAGGAAAGAGAGAAGCAGATCCTCGGCTTTGTTCAGCTGTGCTTGGATGAAGGACACAAAGGATGTTAGAAGATTTGCTCATCTGTAGTTGTTATGTTCTGTCATTTCTAACATGACGGTGGATTCCTGTACTTTCTGTGCCGTTAACTTCTACTGAACTTGTCCAAGTTCCAGGTATGCAATTTAGTGTATTAAGTTTATTTGCCATGCCGGAATACAGCCGCTTCGCCAAATCTATTAAACTTCTACTCATCCAATTAAGTTGCCTGCCAGGAAAGGAGAACATGTACAGCGCTCCTCATCGCCTGCATAGTGAGAGGTGACACCTACATGTTGTAGGAAAAACCACGCTGCTTACGAGTAGGATCTACATGGCCTTATAGTTAACCCCTCACTAAATATTTTGGTTTATAATGAAATATACCTCTAACCAAAGATTTATTTATGGTTTACAAGCAGGGTTAGATCCCCTGTCAGGTTTTTATTGCCTTTTGGGTTGCAGTCGCAAGAAAAGAAAGGCTAAAAATCACCCCTACTCTATTATAAAAATCTGTTTCTTAACTCTGTTCTAAAACTTTTTTTGTTACTGTATGCTATGCCATAGGAGGCACGATTTACAGCTTTTCAAGGACCATAGCGGAGGTGAAGTCCTAGTGCACCCTCAGCTGGTTATCTCACCCCTCCCCAGTCAATTAGTCAAGCCCTGCCCCAAACTATCTGTAAGCAGGGGTTAGTACCCCTTTTAGAGAAACCCTTCGGTGGATCTTCTGGGTGGGGGTAGTCTATCCTATACAGGGCCAGGGGTGTATTTACCACAAGGCAAACAAGGCATTTGACTAGGGCGGCATTTTTGAGGGGGGGCAGCACTGCTCTTTGGAATAAGGGACACACGTGGCATGGGGACCTGATCAGTTCCGAGAGAGGCTGCGGGTTTCATGACAGTGTATGCACAGCTCTACTCTCGTTCCCGGGTTTGTCCAGAGCTGTGAAAGTTAGTGTCTCTGTCTCCCTCAACATGGGAAATGGTGGCTGATGTATGGGGGGCAAGTTGTAGTGGAAGGCTTTCTTGGGTGGGGGGTGGGATGTTATTGGTCAATGTCAGTCTCTCTGTGGGGGAGGGGGGGCAATTTTTGTGTTGCCTAGCAAGGACCTGTCAGCACAAAACCTGAATACACCAGTGTACAGGGCTGAGACAAGGGGTTGGCATCCCTGGGCGCAGATGAGTAAGGGGGCAAAGAATAGACACAGGGTAGTACACCCATTCTATGGCATGTATTAACACTTGGGGGGGTGGGGGGACACAATTCTGTATTCTTGCCCTGGGTGCTGGTCCTATATGATCCTTATTTGGAAGAGCCAGGGGGAGAGTGGTGATGAGAAAAGGCTACTCCTAGTATACTAATAAGTAAGTTTGTAGCCTTAGTAAGTTTGTAGCCTTAGTAAGGAAACCCTTCGGAGTAGGCCTGTAACAGGATCGGGTGGAGAACCCACTTATGAAGGACCTATGGTGAGGACCATGGGAAAGTCGAGAAGCTATGCTATGTTGTTGTGAACTTGTTGTACAGATAAGGTCGGGACCAAAAGAGTAGAGGTAGAGGTTGTGTGGCAGATTGTTGCTCTGCCCCAGTAAACCATTAAGAAGCTGAACATGTGGACATTCATTATTTCGAGATGTGGGCCTTAGGCCTCGAGATCTTTGGAGTGACTAAAGATGGCAGAGGTTCTCCATGTTACAGTTGTGTGTATACCCTATCTCATTCCTGAGAAGGAATAGTGGGATAGACCCTTGGCCAGCATGGACCTTGCTGGTGGTGCCACCTTTCTGACAAGGATATCTCTGTGTAGCACCCTCCTAGTTAGATAGGGGGAGCTCTAGTTCTAATTGAGTAGCAGTCCAGATGTGATAGTCAGAGGGGTCGAATTATGGTCAGGGGCTGAGAGGCTCTGCAGATCAGCTCTCTGAGACTTCCCCTTGCTCTGGAACTTTGGAGAAAAATCTAGAAGCAGTGGGCAGAGGTGAGGAGTGGCTGATCTGCACTTTTGAGGGATCCTTGCCAATGCCCAGCAGGAGACTTGGGATGGGGCCAGGACGGTCCTTGAAAGTGAGAGAGCCTGCTTAAGAGATGGAGAGTTCAGGTGAAAGATGAGGAAATGAGGCTGGAGAGCAGGAGCCTGGGAGGGGGCCCAAATGGAGTAGGGTTCACCTACAGGCAGAGGACCTTAGAGGGACTCAGAACTTCACTGGTCCAAACAGTAAGGACCACCTGTGCAGCAGGGAAGGAGCAGCCCAGCTAAATGGCTTGGTAGCAGCCACAAACCCACCAGCAGCACAGGGACAGAGGGGGTAAACCTACACCCCCTGGGCCATTTAGGGGAAAGAGGAAACTGGATTAGCTTTTTACCTGGGACTGTTCAAACTGCAGTGGCAGGCACTGGATCCCCTGCCCAAGAAATAACCTAGCATAGATGGATGAGGAGAAGACTCATCTGGGGTTTGGAGTGGTAATACAGGAGATGCTGGCTAGCTCTCCAAGAGAGATCATTTTCCTGTAAAGACTTGTACATATTTGCTAAGGAGTTTGTCCTCTGTTGCCATTACCCTTGGGCATCCCACACACCCCTTACCCCATACAAGGTAAATTCCCCTAATAAAACTTCAAAACCAAGCTCAAGGACTGGTTACTGTCTCCTGGATGCAAGATTGATGTGAAGGAAATGCGTGTTGCCTAGCTTTGCAGGACTATATGGGGACCCAAATCTCAGCAACTCCTAACGGGGTAGTGCTACTACTATGTGCCTCTCTTTTGTAAGCATCATTTCAATGTTAGACTAACCAAATTGTAAAAAAAAACTGCAACAGAACCCTTAAACTTCCTTCAGTCTCTCCTCTGGATTTGGACTCTATTATTTGTACAGTCTTGTAAGTCTAACAATGTAAGCATGCTTACAGGAGGGGAATGCATACAAATCTGAGGATATTCAGAAATCCAGACAAGAGAGGTAGATTGCAGGAACTTAAAGTGGTTCTAAAGTCTAAATGTTTTTTGTTTTGTTTTACCTTAACAGCCTCCCGCCCTCCATGTAAGGTAATGACGGGCGCAAGGCGGTTCTCTCGTTCTGGGAGGACGTCATATGACGTCCTCCCACTCTAACCACAGGGGCGCGTAACGCGGTGATCGGTGGTGTGCTGTGTCCCTCAGACACAGCAGATCACCGATCAATGGAAAGAGCCGAAGATGTCTGCGCGGTCATGTGATCAGCTGTGTCTAATCACAGCTGATCACATGTAAACAGGGAAATGTCGGTTATCGGCATTTCTCTCTCCTCACAAGCTGTCATGCTGACAGCTCGAGAGGAGAGGAGAGCCGGTAAACGGCATTCCTGAGAGGGGACATCTACACTGATCATCAGGGCACTGATGATCAGTGTGCCCTGATGATCAGTGTAACCCCAGCAGTGCCACCTGTCAGTGCCCATCAATGCCACCTGTCAATGCCCATCAGTGCCTCATCAATGCCACATATCGGTGCCTACCAGTGCACATCAATGCCATATATCAGTGCCCATCTGAGCTGCCTTTCAGTGTCACCTATCAGTGCCAGTCAATGCCACCTATCAATGCCAGTCAGTGCCACCTGTAAGTGCTGTCAATCAGTGCCAGCTATAAGTGCCAGTCAGTGCCACCTATCAGTGCCACCTATAAGTGCCCATCAGTGCTGCCTATCAGTGCCACCTAACAGTGCCAGTCAGTGCCACCTAACAGTGCCAATCAGTGCCGCCTATCAGTGCCAGTCAGTGCCACCTATCAGTGCCATATATGATTGCTCCCTTTCAGTGCCCATCAGTGATGCCTGTCAATGCCCATCAGTGCCACCTACTAGTGCCTCCTCATCAGTGCCCATCAGTGCCACCTATCAGTGCCCATCAGTGCAGTCTATCAGTGCCCATCACTGCAGCCTCATTAGCACACATCAGTGAAGGAAAAAAATCACTTATTTACAAAATTTTATAACAAAAACTAAGAAAAAATGTTTTTTTTTCCAAATGTTTGTTTTTGGTTTGTTTAGCAAAAAATAAAAAACCCAGAGGTGATTAAATACCACCAAAAGACAGCTCTATCTGTCTCAAAAAAATTATAAAAGTTTCATATGGGTACAGTTTTGCATGACTGCGCAATTGTTATTCAAAGTGCGACAGCACTGAAAACTGAAAACTGGCCTGGGCAGGAAGGGGGTATAAGTGCCCTGTAGGCAAGTGGTTAATGCATTCTCTGCAGTTCAAGACCTCAGTACCCGTAGTCAGGGTTGGAAGCTGTTTCCCATCCGGAGCCTCCACATCCCGGGGCCATATAAGGACCTAATAATCCTGGGAAAGCTGCAGATCAGTTTTCCCTCTTTATCGGATCACCCCGGAACCCCATCACAGTGCATAGTGAGAATCCCTGAGTACTCCCACCATACCTCGTTGTCCCCCTTAAAAAACACCCTATTCATGTCCTAATCCCCCATCCCTAAACACCTACCTGGCTCCATGTCACTGCTCCAGTGATGTCTCTGTCTCCAGCATCGCTCTCCTAACTTGCTGCTTTCACGGGAGAAACTTAAGACCAGCAGAGCCATAGATTCTTGCTGCTGTCAATCAGACTCCTCTGATGTGGGTGTGGCTTAATGGTACTGTGTGTGTCTATGGATGCACATAGCCTGGCATGGGAGCTCGCATGCATGGGTGCTTCCTTGACACCTGACTTGCTGCAGGATGTACCTGGAGAAGAGAGAAGCTGCCAACACTGGCCACAAGAGGAGGAAGAAACCTTTCTGATCAATGTCATTGCAAAGAGCAAGTAAGTATAGCCTCCTTTCTCTACATACAAAATGTAGAACTCACAGAGAGAGGTCTGGTACTTTACTAGTTCTATTCAGAGAAAGTACAATCCAGAAGGTTGTGCACTTTACAGCAGCAGGTCTGTACAGTCAACCATTGGGGCAAACATTAGCATGGCTTTGCCCACTATCCTGAAATGAGAAGATAATAACCTTACTAATGGGATATGCAATGGAAGGAGACATGAAAACCTTCTCTTCCATGAAGGGTGTACTGTCTCATATGGAAGAAAAATATATTTGAAATATACTTTAAAAATACTCTTCCCAAATATATTGCCATATGTTTGAATTGCTACAATTTTGGCCATCTTCAGTGTGTGTGTGTGCGTGCGTGCGTGCGTGCGTGTGTGTATTCTACATGTTGAACTGTGTATTTTATAAATTACAAAATATATGAAAAACATTTTAAAAAATATTTTTGTTTAAATATATTCTTCAGATTTTTTTAACATATAAAAAAGTAAATTTAAACATATATTTTTACATACATTTGTAAATGCATTCCAAAAATGTAGATTTGTATTTTTAAAGACATACAGTATATTTGAAATGTATTTTTAAAAATATTTTTTAGATATTTTGTAATAAAAACTAATTTCAGCATGCAGTATATATATGTAAAAAAAAAAAAAAAAAAATATATATATATATATATATATATACACATTGAAATATATTTTGAAATATATTGAACATGGCCAAAATTGTAGCATTTCAAATATATGGTAATATATTTGGGAAGAATTTTTTTTTTAAATATATTTCAAATATATTTTTCTTCCAGATGGGGTGCCATGCATTAGTTCAGTTTAAGAGAATATTTCATGATTTTAATGAATGATGGACCGAATGGGGCTTTTCTTATTTTCCTGGAATTAAGCTTTTAATAAGTGAGCTAGATATGTGTTTATGAAATGGTTAGCCGGCACAGCCATTCACCCCGGTGCTATTTTTGGCCCTTCGCAAAATAACTGATTCAACACTCCTGTGTGTTCTTTACAATGGTACGGACTGGTTTATTTTTTCAATGGAAGTCTAATATTTTGTGGAGAAGGCTGACTGTGGCAGGCAGAGTAAACTGTGGTTCACGCTTCCTACCAAACCATAAACATTTTCTTAAGGCCATGTCTAATTTAAATAAATAGTCAATGGTTCGGCCCAATGCCCCTTCAAAGCGTTCCCATGTGATTCCCACCGGACAAATTTGTGTAGAAAAAAAAGCTAAATATTAATTCCCAATGTCAGCGCAAACAGAATGACGAAGTGGGTTATGGAGAGGTAGACACAACTGCAAACCCTTGAGTCAGCTCTGGCAGTCCTTTCAGGAACCTTTTTTTTAAAGGACTAGTCCACCTGAAATTAAAGCAGTATTTCACCCAAAATCAAAAATGTAATATATTGCAGCTTGCCAATCATTAGATGTGGTGGCTGCATTAGGCTCCATTCACATCTGAGCGTAGCGTTTTTCAGCTTTTTTTGTGCATATTTTACTGCGATTTTTGCGCATTTTTGCATGTTTTCATACAGCGTTGTTATCTGGGACCCATACAGGAGGACTGGTGTTACCCCCTTATCCACAGCCCTGGTGTCCTACACCTATAACAAGGGTGTTATCCAAGTTTGGTCAGCTGCACAGTTTGTTTTTATCTACAGGCGCCCCTTATCTGCGTAGGCAGTTTTCGGTAAAGGTGAACTAACCCTTTAAGAGATTCTGTTGACATATAAATCATCACTAATAATAATAATTATTATTATTATGAAAATGAATTCAACAGAAGAAGTGAGACCCTAAAGTGGAATGAGGGAAATAATAGCAAGTTAACCCTAAACAATCTTCATACTTTGCATACAGTTTATATTCTATGAAGCTGCTACAAGCTGCACTGTGCAGGAATAATCAGCTAAGTTGGACCTAGAAGGTAAGTAGCAGCTGAAATAATACAGACAATTGAAGAGACAAAAAAAAACAAAGCTACGATTCCATGGCGCATGGGAAAATGAATTATATTCCATGTAGGAATTGTGAATACAGGGAACCTGGGCTTTAGGAATCACATTTTGTTGACAAAGGAGCACATGTTCGGCTATGTAAGGAATTTCTGTAAAATAATGTGCTGTGGGTTTTTTGAAATACTTGTTCTTGACAACAAGACGAAAATGAATAATTATGTTATTTTATGAAATGGAGAAGACAATTAATGAAAACATCTCTCATCAGCGGATGGTGACATTTTTGTATATAAATGTGGCCATGCCAAAGACAAGAGTACTTAAAGTGTTACGAAACCCACAACAGTAAAATCAGTCTGTATATGCAGTAAAGCACGCTTGTTATACTCACTGTGGAACTTAAGGGGTTAATCCTCTGCATTGTGTAAAAAGGTTATTTGATCCTGTCTTCTCTGATCCTCCCCTTCTTCAAGGGTCCCCCACTTATCTCCTGATAAGACATATTGGTGGAGACACTCTGCACATGCTTAGTTTGGTGTGTATAGGTTTTTTTTTTTCTTAGGAGAGTGCATGTGATCAGCTCAGGGCCAATCAGCACTGTCCAGACAGAGGTCAGGGGTTCTGCATCCTCCTAGAGCAGAAAGAAAACTCCTCCTACAAGCTTTAACCAGTGCTTTGCTGGACACTGATAGAAGTCACAAGACTGTTGTAACTGCTGATGAGAAAAGGTATTTAGCAGTTTTTTATTTTCATGTTGTATGTACTGCGGGAGACCGGATATAGTGAATGCAGTGTTCTGGATTTAGTAACACTTTAAACTCAGAGTTTTTCAGTTTACCATATTAAGCACAATAAAAGAAACATTCCACAGTAAACTTTTAGTTATAATTCTTACCCCAGCACCTGCAGTCTACACATTTCAATTGTGCTGGCTCCTGTTCTCTCAGTGCTACTTCTCTGTACTTACTGTCTTTACAAGAAGGCATTAACAGTGGACAGTGCAGTCTCCAGTCAGTCTGTTAGCTTGTTCTGCTTTCCACAGCAAGTGAAAACCCCCTCTTAAAATCTGCCACTAAAACAAGTGTCCACATTGGAAGATTTCTCCTTCATTCTTGTTCTGGTGAAAACTATAAAAATTTGAATTTCCTAATCCTGTAACAAGGGTCACCAGGACAAAAAGAATTAAGCTAAGTTCAGCAGGGACTGTCCAAATTTCAATCTATGTATGGGAACACTGATTGTACAGAAATCGATCTACCGATTAACTCTTGTACAACCGTCCCACCCTGTCGGACTTTTGATCAGTGTATTCTGATGGCAAGGAAGTCTCCCCACTGTCAAAATACAATAGCGCAGTGGGGAGGATTCTCCCATCCACATCAAGTGTGTGGACGGGGGAATCGCGTCCTTTTTATTTTCGTTCAACCTGCTGGTTATGTATGGGCTGCTTTCGTTTTCCCATGAGGTACACAAACAGCTATAAAACCCAAGGGAGTTTCTAACCCAAGGTTTCTCAACCAGGATTTCATGGAACCCTAGGGTTTCTCCAGAGGTTGCCAGGGGTTCCTTGAGCAATGAGCAGTTTCTGCCTTTCAGATATTTTCCCGCTGACACCATTGATCTTTTTAGCAATCTGTAAGGAGGAATACTTCCCAGTGAACACAAGTGTAAAGCCGTCCATGCACGGGTCAAATTTCAAATAATTTTCTTTCGAAAATCTTTTCTAAGAATTTTCGTTCGAATTTCACACCATTCGTGGGTCACAGAAATAGCCGATTTTTGTGTGACCATCAAATTGGAGTGCTCGGGAATGTTGGAATTTTTAATCAATGATGGGAGAATCTTGGAAAGAAAAGAAAAATCTTGGCCACGAAAATTCTTTTTTGTAACAACATGAGGTGAAATGGCAGGCTTGGTTGTTTGAATTTCAAAATCAATGGTGGCACCTTTGATTACAAAACGCACAAAATTCCAATTTTCTAAAAAAAATTCATTCGGAATCCGACCCATATGGCCTGCATAAGGAACATTCTTCCCACTGACCATCACACTAATGTATCATGAGTTGTGGATATAGTGATTTTTAGCAGGGGTTCCCTGAAACTGGAAAGTTATTTCAAGGGTTCCTCTGTGTTGAAAAGGTTGAGAAAGGCTGTTCTAACCCTTTAAGTTTGGGCTTAGATCTACTTTAACCACTTGCCGTACGCCTGCTGTTTATAAACGGCAGGGCGGTGGCAGTCCAGG